AGGCACATTGGCTTCACTTCTGAAACCAGGATGCTACGCCCATTTGAATATTTTATCCATCTGCAACTGTTTTTCGATGAATGCTTCAAATTAAAAAGTCGGAATCGGGGCCCTGGAAGCCCAGGGGATATGTTGCAAACCCAACGTCTGAAGGGCTTTTGTTCTCATGTCAGTTGGCTGTGGGTTAGAATCTGTTACGTTTGATTGATGTAACAGTCAGTCACATTTTGAAATGCGGTTTGTTGAGGCTGTAGGGGTCGAGTTATAGCTGCATTGTGTGCTTCTCTTATTTTCAGTATAATGGTGCAGCGTGTGCACTGCAAATGATGTGGGATTAACGCTGTTTGTGCTTGTCACTGAAATGTGCTTCTCTGAATCTGGATTTTTGTTTGTTGTTGTTTGTTTTTTTATTTATTGACACTACTGCAGAGGCAGTGAAATGTTTGCAGCACTTGAGTCCGAGACCAAATTTTCATACAAAGGGTTTCATATCATATTGATCTTCTTGTATAGTATTGTACTGTATCATATCATGCTGTTATGTACAATCTGGCATTGTATCATATCATATGTTGCCATAGTATATCCTATAGTATCATATCATCTGGTATCTTAACATAATGTATCGCATCACATTACATTTTAGTATCATATTGTATCTTATCTTAAAGGGATGGTTTGGTATTTTTGAAGTGGGTTTGTTTGAGGTACTTAACAATAGAAAGTATATTAGCCACCAGAGATGTTGTTCAGCTCAGTGCCTCTAGGGGGAAAACAGCAGGAGTGCAGACACTGAAGTTAGGCTATACATTCAAGCAGATGGGGACGTTTGCTCCATGTAGTTTGGCAAATTTTAAGGAACTCCAAACTAAAAAACATTGGGGTTACACTACTGTATATTGAAAAAAATCACAGCGCTTTACTTTTCTGATAGCCTTTTGTTATAGCACTGCTTCAGCACACACCACATAGTCTACATATTCTTCCACTGGCAGCTGTTTTGGTTCTGAAGGCTTATAATATTTTGGATTTGGATTTTTTCTGTTTTCTGTCTGCGAGAGAAACATAAAAAAAAAAAAAAAAAAAAAAAAAACTCTTTGCTCTCTTTCTTCCCCTGCAGTGTTGAACGGACCTCCCATGTCTGTGAAGAAGGAGCGGGAAGCAGAGCTGCTGATCAACCGGCGGGAGCAGCGCATGGGAGAGGTCATCTGCATCGACGACTAGACTACACACACACATAAACTGAAACCCGTCTGCTGCAAACACATCTTCAGTTCCTCTCAAGTTCTCAAACTTTTACTCTCTGCTGACTGGTACTCCATGAAAAGCTACAATCTCACACATACACACAAACATTATACACACACGCGTAACCCCTGCAGTACATAGTCTCATAACTTCTTGTGACCTTTTCTCGTCTGCCTCAAACCATTATACTCCTCATACACGGCCTCCTAACACAGGCCTCCTCCTCCTCTTCCTCTTCCTCTTGGGATGTTTCTAACCTCGTCTACACACACTTTACACACACACCACCTCAGTCCTAAAAAACCTTTAGATCTCTCAATACACCATGTAACCCCTCCTCCCCCCCCCTCTTCCTCCTCCAATCTTGACAGGAAGCTGCATGTGAAAATCATTTCTCCCTCTGCACTCCATCCCCTGAAGCATGCTCTAATCACAATAACGCTGAACGTGGAAAGGAAGAGAGTAAAGAAAAAAAAAGAAGCTGTGCCTAATGTTGACTATTTGGAATTCTCAAACAAATACTGGACCTGTGGTCTTTGCAACTCCTGGCTCCAGCTTTTTGTGTTCAGTCAATAAACACATGCAGCAAGTCGTGATAATAATAATAATATTCAGGAATTGTTCGACCACGTTAAGTATTTCCCGCCATCCCTCCACTTCTACGTTCGAGTATATGTACAGAGCTTTGAGGTATTTTTTGGGGGGTTTAGTTCCAAGAAAGGGCCTCGCGCTATTTTCTGAGGAACCTCCTATGAATGTTTATAACCTTTCATAAGCAAGTCAGTGTTATTAAAACGGATCGATCAACCCCAAACACTCCTTCTCTCTTCTCTCTTTATCAACCTTTTTCCTTTTTTTTTTTTGTTTCCAATTTTTTTTTTTTCTTTCTACAAAAAAACCCTGTGATATACTTTGCATATTTAAACCGCTCATCCGTGTTCTCTTTGTTTCTACTCTGGCAGTTATGAGTATCGTTGTCGTTGATGTTGCTGTTGTTCTCGCTATTGCTATTTGAGACAGAGCTTCTACCAAAAGAGACTTTTTTGTATGTATGACACACAATGCACCTGTTTGGTCTATAACTGCGAAAGAACACAAACAAAGAAATTGAGCTAACTTCAGAGGTAGATATATCACTACTTCTCTTTGCTTGTGTTTTAGATTTGGGGCTTGCAAATGACATATTCATGTATAGAAAATAGGCCATATGTAACCCTAGATGCTTCCCTAAGCAAAAAAATAAAAAAATGCATTCTACCTAAACTAAGTGAACATCCGTGGTTATTAATTGCCGAAATCAAAGGCTGGAAATCCATTTTATAAACCGCATCATTAATAAACGCCTTAATAAACATTGCTGAGGAAAGAAATGTAAAATCACAAACCTGATTGAAGACCCTGATGTCAACTGTAAATTGTAGCTTTAAGTTCAAGGTAAAAAAAAACATAGGAGTTAATTTATTCCCTAAATCCCAGGCATAACGCTAATCTTTCCTGGAAATAATCAGTTCTTTTTCTAAATTACGTTTCATACACAAGTTTTGCAACCCCTGAACTAAAACATTGTGTAAAAAAAACAAAAAAAAACAAGCATTTTTTCTTTGTCCTCTCTTCAGATTTTTGTGTTTATTTCTGGGTATCTTGTGTCACCGTGTATGTAGTGGTGCCTATCAAATGAGTGGCAGTTAAAACATGTCAATGATGACGCAACTCCTTTTTGTCTTTTTTTTTTTTTTGTTTATAATAAAACTGATTGAAATCATAAAAAGTACTGCTTGGACTGTTTGTCATGGCCTTTCACACAAGGTCATCCTTTATATCCACCACTTTGGTCGGGTTGTTAAAGTTGTTCAGATATTCGCAGTTACTTACTGGCTTTGGTGATCCAGTTGATTTTTTCCTCTATCACCACCCTGAAGTTACATTTGGGATTTAGAGTAAACATTTCCCAACCACATTTGGATGCATTGTCATTAAATTAAATGTGCCATACATATTATGGGCTAAATTCTAATCACTATTGTTGCTTAACAAATCCTTTCAGCTTTTACTTTGTGTTAAAAGCAAGCGGCAACCTCCAGTTGTGGACAAATGAAGCCAATGTGGAGGACAAAAAAAACTGCAGTTCCTCAAGTGTCCACATTAGGCAGGATCCAAAAGACCTACATATCCCATGTCAACATGTACAAAAAAAAATATTTTAGTCTGAATAGCTGATGTCTGTACTGACACACACTGTATACAGTTCCATGTCTCTGTGCAATATGGCAACCACCATTAAAGAGCTTCAAAAGTCCACTCCAGAGTTCAAGGGTCAATGTTACTGAGACAACGCCAGTCTATGGAAAATAGGTAAGGGGCTAACATTAGCATGCTAACATACTTACATAGTAACTAGCCCTAAGCTTTTATACCAGCTTAAGATCCACATTGGCACTGCTTAGCATGCTAGCATGGCCACCTTTGCATTTCAACCTAAGCAATGCTATGCTCAGCATCAGAATGCTAGCTTCAGCTGTACAGACTATAACCCTTCAGATATTTTTCAGATAAGGTAAGGCCTATCTGGTTTAAATGTGTTTACTTTACAGAATAAATAAAGCTGTGTTGTTGTAAATTTAAAGAGGTTTCATTGTAATGCCTCTGAAGAAACTTTTTTTTTCCAAAATATGCTCAGCTTGTCATGTGGAAGAGTATAGTGTTTTGTTGTTTTCAAAATAATAGTCTTTAACTAAAGTACCACAGTAATAGTTTAAAGGTCATATTATGCTTTTTCTGGTTTTATATGCTCTTTAGTGTGTTTTCCAAGTGTCCTGTGCATGTTTAGGCACATCTATGTGCAAAAATTCAAAGTCCACTCATGGCCTTTCAAAAGATTGAGACTGGGATGCTGGTGGCGCAGTGGTTAGTGTGCACGCCCCATGTATGGAGGCTGGTCTTCCCAGCTGGTGGCCCAGGTTCAAATCCAGCCTGTGGCTCCTTTCCCACATGTCATTTCCTACTCTCTCTCCCTGATTTCCAACTCTATCCACTGTCTATCTCTCAATTAAAGGCTCAAAAAGCCCCAAAAAAAGATTGGACCAAAAAACTACATTTAATGTTACACAAGTTTTAATTAAAATCTCAAAGATGTAAATCCTGAGGAATGAAAACAAGCAATTCAATTGGCTCAGAATATTTACATTTACGAAGGATCAACCTGTGTTTGAAGCTAAGCATCTGAAAAGTTGTGATGGCTTTCGATGATGCTGAAGAGGGAAGATGTAGATGTGGGTGAATGTGAAAATGATGGAAGTGTCTCTCCTCTCTTAATGGTGTTAATCCCTGTTATTTCTCTCTCAAGCACACACACACACACAACATCAACAACATCGAAGAGTAGATAGTGATTTATGACTAAGTGTGAGGAATCATACTGTTCTGTTTAACAGATTGATGCAACACAGTTCACTATTTACTGTCACCTTTCCTTTGAGTCCTACTCTTTTATTTTTAACATTTAGGCATTAAGTTGACGCTTTTATGTGTGGAAACCGATTAGGCTAAAGTAACAAAATTAAAACAAATTAAAATGTAAACAAACCAGTTCATAAGGGACTCACAAATTCACAAAAGTAAGCAAAAGTCCAGTAATCACTTTTGTTTGGCTTGGCTTTGGGCTTCACCAACTTTTGACAGCTTCATACATTACATACTCACCTTCACACACAGGCTGTTTATCTGGACTTTTTCATTATATTAGTTAGAATCACTTTTTCAAAAAAACCAACCAATAACTTTTATTTAACATGAAGAGAAGCAGGATGAGAGGAAATGAATATAAGAAATGTCCACCCATTGCATACATCATCATTTTTAAGAGAACTACTTCACAATGCTTCACACAAATTTCCAAAGTGTTAACAAAGTCATTTACAAAAATAGGAATCAGGGCAGGGAAGTGTGCAAGACTATGTGTGTATTTGTGTGTGTGTGTGTGCTTGTGTGTGTATGTGGAGGGACAAGGCATGTTTTTCCTCAAAGGCCTTCAGCTGTGTGGTTTAGGTTCAGATTCAGGAAGTGAACATTTAGATGTCTGCTGGTGTGTGCCTGTGCATGCAGAGGACACTCAGGAGAGTGAGTGTGTGTATGTGGGTGTGCAGTATGATCGGTGCTGACACTGGTATTTGGGGTGCATGGGGGTGTGGGGTTGGTGTGTGAGCATGAAGGACACCAAAAGGGAAGAGGAAAACGATGAGGAAACGTCTAAACTTCAAAATCATACTTTTTTTTTTATCTGAAAACATGAAGGTTTGGCTCCAATTAAAAACACAACGTTCACTTCAGTAAAGTGCTGAGCTGAAAACCAATGTGGTCCGTCCACAAAAACTACTTATAAACAAGAGTGGGCGTGCATAACCCACTGCTAGAAATATACACGTTTGCATTGTAGCGGAGAATATTACAGAAAGCAGAAGCAGCAAAATACAAGCGAATGAAAGGAGTTTCCAAAATATCATAAAAATTAAAGATGCAACAATCTTCAATCCAAGATGTAACCATTACATAGTAGAGAAATTGGGGGTTTTATTCTTTCCATATTATTTCAGATAAGTTGTTGGTTTGGACAAATTATTCACATAAGATCTACTAAACGATCTGATTAAAAAAATCAAAGGTAAAAATTGGGATTCCTTAGTTATTTTTAAACCAAGCAAACAATGTCCCCTGGCATAGCAAAGTTATGTTGTTTGACAAAAAAACTTTTAGACATGCATGTAATTCACTGAAGCAATCCCAGTTACCTTGCCTTTCATTTCCCAATCATTTGAAAGGTTTTTTTCTTTCAAACTTCAGTAAATGTAATTTGTTTATGACTTTTTATCACTCTCACCACCCTCGGGTATAGGTGTTTATGGTTGATTGGCTAAAATGCCTTTAAAAGATTAGCCAGGTTAACAGTTTACCTGCAAAAATTAGCATGCTAGCTTTGCGGTCATGCCAGCTTGCTGACATTAGCATTAAGCTCAAAGCAGTCCTTGGCTTCATTGCAACCTCAGAGAGGTAGTATAGTTGTAAACTGTTAACCTGGGGAACAAACCTTACAAACCATGTTAGATTTGTGATCATGCTAGGTTGTTGACGTTAGCATTTAGCGTTAAGCAGCAACGGGTTCAACTCAGCCTTAGAGAGCTCATGGTTTTAACATTGTCCTACTGAGTAAAATATTTGTTTAACTTTGAATTAATATGTTAGTCAGCAGCTAAATGAACAACATGTTGGCTTTTTTTCTATGGGCTGTTATAAAGCTTGGTCTTACTACACTAGAACTGTGACTATTTCTTTGGATCAGTTAGTAACTTTTTCCAAGTTTAAAATCAAAATCAATTTAAATTCACACTAGAGCTTAGGAGAGCATTTGAAGGCCATAAGAACAGTGATTTCATTATTTACAAGACAATTTGCTGATTGTGATTATTGGCCATAAAACATAGCCTATCAAAGGCAGAAAAAAGAGACAAAGCTATAATTAAAGATGTGTGCTTTGCTGACTATAACAAATTTCCATCATTAAAGCACACAATATACAATGCAATACCTTACAATCAAATTTCAAGCAAAAGAGCACAAATTCACATCCATGTTTTTCAAAATATACCCATTCTTTACTCCAAACGTACACATACGGAGTACTTTAAGAAAAAGGCTTAGAGTAATGTCACACTTCTTTGACACACACAGAACACACACACATAACACACACTCACACACACACATTACTGGTAATGTGGAGATCATAAAATCAGTATACAAAAAATGCTTGATTCAAACACACAGATGCTGCACTGTATAAAATATCACTGACAACTCATGTAGGCTGTTAATAGTGTCTGGATCTGACGCTTGCAGAAGCTTTGAGTTTCTTGAGGCTGTGGTGATATAAAAAGTGGAAAGTGCAACTTTACTATCAGTCTTATAAAGAGAGTGTAAGCACATTTTATGACTTGATAAGAAGGCTATTTTCTTTTTACAATTGTGTCTTTATCTGTAGAACAGCTTCCAGCCATCATCTGTTCTCTGCAGACGTTCATAAAGGCATTTTTTTTTCCACTTTGTGACTTGGTTTTAATCCAGAAGTCTGTTTTTCTCCAGTCCAAAACAGCACAGCTGTCCGGAGAAAAATTCCACAACAACTTCCACAAATGTTGGGTCTGTCTTTCAAATTAACGTCTTTGGGAAGAGGCTGTGGCACGATTTTATGTCCCCATTGCTTATGAGTGTTTTACCACATAGAAAAGAATGTCATCTGCGTAAAAAGTTAGTTTTTTGGTCCCGGATGAGACTAAAAGCTTCAGTTAACTTTAAAGATGCTGAATATGTGAGGGGAGGCTGAAGGATTTCCCACAGTATGGAGTCTGAAGGACGAGCCTGTGATGGCCTGCAGCTCTGTGCCTCTATCCAGTCGCAGCAGGCCGGACACCTGGCATGGCTTCAGGAAGTGGAAAGGGTGTGGTCCGGCGGAGGGGGTCGTCCCGTATCCCTCCATGCACTGCAGCTTCTGAGGCCTCTGTCCACTGGTCACCACGTCCAGCTTCACATACTGAGACTGCTGCTCATTGAACAACACCTACAAAGACAGAAAATATAATCCTCAGATTATCCATCAGACTTCCTGGCTGGTATGGCATTAGCGCGGTTAACTTTCCACCAGTTCTTTTGCTATCTACACAGACTGTTTACTGCATACACCACGGACTGCTGATACCTGAATGGTCGATTCAGATCTGGCTATAAATACACGACAAATGGAAACCAGAACACTTTCCATGTTGAAAACCCAGACCCCTGTGTACAGATCCTACATTTCTATGTTGAACCCATGAATAGAGATTACTTGTTGCCTGGTAAGTCTGAGCTAAAAGATGCTAAAGGAAGTACAAATTTAAGGGATAGTTCTCTATGGGTTTGTCACTAACCCATAGAGAAAACAGTAGCTAAGTAACCTTTGTGGTAAATAACTAACTTAATATTACACACATTCATTTGATCCTTTGTCAAAATAAAAATATCATTTATGCATATTTAAAGTAGAGATACAAACACAAGTAAAAATAATGTTAATAAGCTGCAATTCTCAGCACAAACTCACCTGGCAAAACAGGAAGTAGACCCCCGCTTTCTCCACTGTGAAGGTGCCTTGTTCCTTGTTGTACCTCACCGCTTTACTCATATTCAGCATCCTCTCCTCCCAACCTTTTATCACACCCCCCTCTCCAACTAAGACACACAAACAGACAAATAGCCAAGGTTAAATCTCTCATAGGTCAAAGTCTCACAGATGAGCCTCTGTCCTTTATTCATTTTACAAATCCTACCTTGTTGAGAGGAGACTTTGGTAACTGATGAAGAGGATAAGAGACATTGAAAGAGAAAGAAAAAGGGAAAGTCAATTAAGATTTTACGACTGCAATTGTATAGGGGTCTATGATTGAAACCACTTCAGCAGATGCTACATAAGACGACCATAACTGATCTGCCAAGATACTTACTCTCGAAATGAGACGCTGCTTTCTTTCCGTTTCCATTCCTCCCTCGTGCCGTCCCCCCTTCAGAAGGCAAAGAGAGACACAATATTAGTTTGACTGGCACATAAAAATACTTGTGGCTTTTTGATAAAACAATCATCCCTGTCTGTGTGTGTCTAATAACACAGTTTGTTAATTTGCTGGCATTTCAATTTAACCTGGCTCATTTTAACGCGACTAGCAGATGGATATAGGATTTCCTTTCACGTGCTTCAATATATTTCCTCAAACTGTTATTTTCAGGCAGAAGCGTGTGCCTCTTAGACTTTTTTTTCTTTCCTGTGGGGGATAATCTTAGTGCCAGCTGGTCGCAGTCATGTAGAAAATACAGGAGATGGAGAAAGAAGAGGAGAGAGATGGAGTGAAGGAAGACGGAAAGCAAGGGGGGGAAAAGTAAAAGCATTAAATGTAGCCTGAGAGGCAAAGCTAGAAGTGCTAAATAAGATAAATGAAGTGCCGGAAAGAGAGAGTCAAAAAGGTCTTTGGCTCAAGAACAGAGTGAAGCAATATCTTTGGATAAATACAATAAATAAAACACAACACTTAAAGGCCAGAGCTGCAGAAAGGCTGCTCTTGTTTCTCTCTAAAGAGCTGTTTTCTCTTCAGACTAGAGGGAGCCTTTAAACACAGATACATCTCGTATACTGTGCGAATGAACTGTGAAATAAATGCTTTATATGTTGAGTAGCCCAAATATTGAGCCCCTGCTGAAATAACTCACAGGTGGGTGACCCTGTAGTTGCAGGATTCGCTATGGGTGAGAGTTAAGCCCTCAGGCCGGCCAGAGTTTCCTGACTGGAGCTGTCAGTCATCCGGAGAGAACATAACAGCAGTGTCCTGGTGGTAAACTTTGCACAAACTGAAAAAAGCTGTTTGGATTTTTTTTCTCTCTGAATTTCCGAACTTGTTTAATGCATTTTGGAAGAAAAAGTGAGATTTCACACTCATATCTGCAGGATTTCTCGACAGGTATTTTGGCCGGGCTTGCAGATCTTAAAATGGATAATTTGTCAAATTGTTTTTTTTTTTCCTTCCTTCTCCGGCAGAAAAGCGCATCAGAGTTCACCCTCGGCCAAATGTGAACAATCAAGCCATCCCGTGATGGTGACGCAAACAGGGGCTATAAATACGGCAATGATAGGTCATCAAATATCACCGCTTTCACAACAAATCATAGCTGTGTCAGTGGTGTGCTCAGGGGGGGGTGAAAAAGAAAATCAATTTCACTGTCCAGAAGCGTGCAACAAGGCCTCGCTCCCTCGCCAGCTGGTTTTGTGGGCTCCGAGGGCCGCTTTGGTCAGACCTGTAATTTCTGAAAATCCAGCTGCCTACTTTTTCCTGTGTCAACTTTTAGCAGCGGGTAGTGCCTGCTGCGGCCCCGCTAGACCTGACCAAAGTGGCATGTGGGCCAAGAGTGGCCGGCGTTTGTGTTAAATGTTCTTCCCAAAAAAACAACACAGTGCACTTGGTAAGTATTGTGTCTTTTCAAAGCTCTGGGGAGGACTTTTAATTTGAAATACCGTCTCTTTTCACTCTTTGGCCCACAAGCAGCTCTCGCTTCTCCAGAATGAGCTGCACGATGGCTTTCCTCTGCGTGTTGACCTGTCCAAAGAGAAAAGCACCATTAACACATTTCCAATACATTTATTATGACTTTGTATCTGGCTCTGGTCCCACACAGTCACACAGACGACAACACAAACAGGCCTGTCTTTTCCAATGATCCTGCCCCTGCTGCAGAGCTAGCTTTAGCATCAGCCCACCACTTCCTCTGAGGCTGCAGTTGCAACACTTAATGCATGTTTTTAGTGCTTTGCATTCCTCACATGTCTTTACTCCCGTTCTGATTTTTTTTATTTATTTTTTTGTCAAGGCAGCAAAGTTTTAAATCCTCTGGCTGGGGGCCCACTGAGTGACCGAAGGAGGCCTTTAAGAAGTAGGAAAAGGAGAAGCAGCTCAAGAGGGGGGGGAAAAAAAGTGTGTTTAAATTTACTGCTACTGTGGAAATAAAGGCAGCGAGTTGCTCTCCAGACGTTAGCTTGCTGGCTCTCATCAGGAGTTGGCCAATGGTCAAATGGACAGAACGGGGGCCCTTGGGAGAGATCCAGCATCAACACTCCACGTGGCCAATCTTGGGGTGTTTGTGTGTGTGTGAGGGAAAAGGATAACATGTGTAGCTAATGTGTGTGTGTGTGTGTGTGTGTATGTGTATGTGTATGTGTATGTGTGTGTGTGTGTGTGTGTGTGTGTGTGTGTGTGTGTGTGTGTGTGCGTGCGTGCGTGTCTTCTGCAACCTGTCCTCCTGATCTCAAATCCAGCACAACCTGGTTTGGAAATATCTTGAGACAAGAAGAATTTCCATCAGCTCCTTTTGGCTGCTTTTAGAAAAAATAATTTGCCCCGTGATGCAACTCATGCTGGAATCTAACATTTGCTGCAAGTGCAAGCAGCTTTAAAGCTGCACTTTGCATCACTTGAATAATGCAATGCATTGAAGACAGATTGTGGCACATTTAACCCTCCTAAAAAGGATAACATCCTACACGTTGCACATGATTTACACTTACTACACTTCACTCTGCAGCCTCTGTGCACTCAGTTGGATATAACATGCTCACGTGCCAAATAGTTGAGGCTTTCCAGTAAATTGAGATAAAACTGGAGCACAACTGGCACCAGACTAATTAAACATGGCGGGAGGGGGGAAGGAGAGGGGGTCAAAAATAAGCAGTAACTTCACCACAACTTGACTGCACTTATTGGTAAGCAATAAAAGTGCCAAGCAGAGAAATGGTGCAATAAGAATGGAGTACGTGCAAAGGGGGAAGGGGGGGGGGTGTCAAGGAATTGCATTTTTCCATACACCCCCCAAGAAGATTCCACAGGAGCGAAGTTATTAAAGAAGTTACGTAAGGGCACTTTAAGGTTTGCAAAAGTCAAAGCGCGTAAAAAAAATTCGACACAAATATGCATGCTATTTTTCAGTTGTAATTGTTTGTTTGTTTGTTTGTCTGCTTTAAAAAACCTTACGAACCTGCTCCAGTCGGTCTTGCAGGACTTTAAAGGACTGCGACAGGTCCCGCGTCTGCCGCCAAGTCCACGCCGTGAACAGCGCGCTGCACGCGGCCAGGGACAGCGCCACCAGGGCCAGAGACGCCCAGACGACCCGCAGCTTGCGCACTCGCCTCCTCTGCAGGATCCGATGCATGTTGCTGCAGACTGCGCCGCTGCTGCTACTCCTCGCCTCCGCCGCAGACCATCCGAAACCCCCACTTCAACTCCATTCCAGCAGCGCGTCAAGTCCCTCCAAATGCATGCCTGTCCAAATGTCCATTTTGGCGAGAAAGGGACACGCTACAGCTGCTTTTTTTAAGGACGCGCCGATCTCTCTGATTGATTTAATCTGACAGATGATGGTTATAAAGCAGCAAAACATCCGCTCCTTCCTCCACACACATCAAAGCCACCGTGCTCCGTGTGCGCGCGCCGTCTCCAAACAGCAGAAAAGTGTGCAACTCGCGCACATCAACTGTTGCATCCTTCTCCTTGCGATTCGTTGACTCAGCTCTCTTGTCTTCCCTTTAAACAGCGTGCTGGGGGTCACTCTATTAGGCAGGCTGAGACACACACACACACACACACACACACACACACGCACGCACGCACACACACACGCACGCACACACGCACACACACACACACACACACACACACACACACACACACACACACACACACACGCGAGGAGTCTCCGAGGGGAACTTTCCGCGTCACAGCTCTGATGTTGTGATAACAGCACTCGCCGTGGAAATCAACGTGGGAAGCGCAGGTTAAACATTCGAGGTGCACCGGAGCTTCCACTGCTGCTCCGATCACTTTCATCAACTTGAAAATATGTGCCATTCACGCCAGTGGCAGTTCCGTTCGTGACCACACGGCGGCAGTATTGTATAGGTAGACCACCATAGATTTACAACAGGCTGTTCTGCGGATAATGTGTAAACCAGGGTGATTAACAGGTGAGCCAAAAATATTAATATCAACAGCCAAGGGAAATCTCCCAAACAAACTCAAGTTATTTTAAAAATGAACCGTACAACTTTTTTTTTTTTTTTGTTCATGGATGATTTCGATCGTTTAATCTACAAAAGTTATTTATCATCTGAAATATGTTGTATTGCTTTTGTAGACTTATTTCATTAAAAGTGATTCTTAAGCAACTTTAAAACAGAAAATATTTCACTCTGATTCAAGACATGTGAATTATCTCAGGAGTTTCCCAATCCTCTGTGCTTGTGATCAAGTCACACACTAAGTTCCTCGTGACTAGTTTTGAAAAGATGCAACGATTTCTGACGTGACACCTTCTCTTACCCTCTCTCCCTTTTATACTTGTTAGGGGCCAAAGGGTGGGAAAGCATTATACAGCAAAAACTCAAACTTAGAATATCATCTTTAAAAGCAGCAGGTTCATAACAAATATGTTCAGGGACCTTGGTTTTTTTTAAGTTAGCTTAGACTTCATTATTTGCTGTATTTTCATTTTTCATTGTGTTATATTGTCTGGGTAAATCATTTTTTTTACCAAGCACTTGTTTTAGCCTTCAATGCATCACTCTCCTGAATGACGTCCAAGATTCCTATTTCTAACTATATATTTTTTTGGTAATCACAGATAATCACATTCATATTTAAATTGTGTTTATAAAGGAAAATATATAAGCCAAGAATCTGATAAAAAATGTTCCTCTTACAAAACAATGGACTCAACACATCTGAAAATTAAGTCTGACAGCTTTTAATCCTCAGTGCAGAAAGAGCAGAGCAGTCGAACAAGGGCGAAGGTAAACATTGAAACACGCTCCGTTTTCAGGAATTGGTGACAACAGGTGGCCTAAAATATGTGACCATCATGCAGGTTTGAGGTTCTCTACATGTGACATGGTTTACGACAGTTCTAATATTTATCACATTATGTGGAAAAACTCATAAATCCCCTTTTGGCACAAGGGAGGGACTTTAGTGGTGCTTTGTGAAGTGAGGGAAGTTGTAGTATGATGTTATGAAGCCCTTTTAAAAACTCAGTGGACGAGGTGATTTACTAGTTGACTTCTTGGATTCACAGAATTTAACCGAACAATGACCAGCTTTAACTTTAAGCATTTCAGAGACTAAATGAGACACATTAAAACATGTGAGGAATAGAAACATCAAGTCAAAAGAAACGTTTGAACACATGATAATATCTCACCATATGATTTGAACACAGTGTCCCTATGGCTCTCCTAACAACTTCAGAAAGTTGTGGAAATAGATGGCTGTCTTTTCTACTCTCTCACACTGACACATTGTCAATTACACACACACAAATGTGAATAAGCATTTCGAATATTTAACTTTCATTTTTTTCATCATTTGTACAGAACAAAAAATGCTCTTGTCGTCTGAGTTATTGCAATTAATCGATAGGAATCATGATTGAACTTCAACAACAAGCATCACTGGGAGCAAAGTATCAAGTTGTGTATTTCATCGCTCTGGGTTGGCATGGAGTTGGAGTATTCAAACAATGGCAGCTTTAAATGTCTCTTTCTGTTTCCTTGGACTGTATATTGATTTCTGGAACATGTTCCAAGCATATAAAATGTACTTGTCTGTATATATTGCACATTTCAACAAATATACAGGAGTATTTTACAAAACAATTTCCTAAAGACTTTTAAAAACAACCCTGCACATTCTTTACTCAATTATTTTGCAAACAAAGTCAGAAAAGAAAATTGCAAAACCTCTAGAGGAGGGTCAGTGGTTCTTACTTGTTTAGAGCTAGAGAAAACAAACTTAATATAACCCGCAGCTCAGATTGTTTTCATTAAATTGCTGGAAATGATACAAGGAGTTTAAAAAAAGTATATAGACTGGATATAAAACAGAAGTGCAGACCAGAATTATTTCCCTTTTGTTTCAACAGGACAGGGTCAAAGACTTAAACTGAGAACGCTCCAAGTCTAACATTTTTTTATATCCCTCCCAGATGCTTCTTTTCTTGTCTCATTTAAAGAAAGCCTTTCTATTAAAACAGTCCTAAAGTAGGTTGAAATGGCGCCTAACCCATTTCTTCACCATCTGATCTCAAGAACTGTCAACACATAGATATAGTGGATGAAAACCTTGCTAGCAGCAGCATTGTGCTTCACAACATCTGTGCAACAACAGTGCTCCATGTCCGGAAGACGAGGGTAGAAGTGACCTTATTACTCTTTGGTCGCTTTTGTCATTTAAAAGGGATGCGATATCAAAAAAAACTCCCTCTTAGCAACACTCATACACAGAAACATACAGTTTGTCTACCCAATGCATAATGTTTGTCTGGATATTTGTGCAAAAAAAGGTGTTATAATTTGTGATTCATACACAACTGTTAGACCCTTCTAACTGCCAACCTTTCGTTTTCCTTCTTATTTGATTAAACACAAAATCAAAAGGTGCTCCAAGTCATTAAGCCCCACAAGGGAAAACACAAAACACACATGTCAGCGCCTAAGTTTTGTACTATTAAATTGTATTGCATGGGCCCCATTCCAATACTTTAATTTGCATTCTTAACCCTGAAGCTAAGCTAATTGACTGTTCCTCGCCCCCCTATCTACCTGAACAAGGCAGCCTTCATGTTGAGGCTCTTGCATTAACTTCATGGTTTACATGTATTTTAAGTAGACTGTGGTTTAAACAGCAGATGTAAGCAGTCTTTTTTATTAATGTTTTTATTCGTGGTAGTATAATACCTAGGTTATAAAGCCAAGCTAGACTGCAAGAAAAAACTGCCTTGTTTTTTCAATATCCGTCTGGCTTGTAGCCTAGCTTCAGTGCTATTTTTTCAAGCCATGAATCGAGTATATATCCATCTTGGGATTTCGGTAGAGCGAGTCAGCTGGACTGTCACACAGACGTCTGTAGAAGAAGCTTTCAGCCAAATATGCAATTTAGTATCAATTAGCTAGAGCTGGCCAACTACAGCTACTAATTATGCTATTTGTTGTCATGTCAGCTGACAAAACAGTCATCACATATAAAGAGGATGCTGATTTAGTTTTTTTTAAATTGAAGACTCATATATATATATTTTTTTTAAAGTTAACCAAATCAGTGAGTTAAGCCCTATTTCCACCAAGGGGTCCGGTTCAGCTCGGTTTGGTACGGCTTTGTGCGGTACGCATTTATTGGCATTTTCACTGTCTGAAGTTGGGAATGGTACCAAAATAAGAGATTCGTACCATCCTACTTTCATGCTACCCTTCTGTTGGGGTAAGAGTACTGATCTGATCCTGAAGGCCGGAGACACACTGCAGTCCGTCAATTGGTCGAAGGTATCATCACTCCCCGTGGGTAATAAAGGACAAACACAAAACGGGCCATGTCATTTCAAGGCTATTGTTCTTTTTTTTTGTGACTAATATCAGCACCATGGACGACTTTGGAGATTCTTCTGCGTTGAATTTATTGGCGGGCTACACTTGCGCCAAGCTACATGTGTTAGGAAGCTGATGCGGCTGTCGTCATGTTGCTCACACTTTGCTTATCAAGTAAGGTTGGCTGTGGAAACACCAGCCAGATCAGGGTTTACAAACTGTACCGAACTGTACTGAACCGGACCTGACGGCTTGGTGGAAACGGGGCTTTTAGCTGCAGCCTTTAAGCTAGCATTATCTAACTACAACTGAAAAGACTCCCAGCTGTTGACATGTTAGCTGACTAAAATGTCTCCTATCAGCTCCAAATGAGAGTTCTTACAGTAAGATCTGCATGAAATTGAAGACTCACAGTGCGAGAATTCCAGGAATTAATAAATAAGCCATTTTTTCTTATTTAATGCTGCTTCTGTGCTATCATTGGAAAACAAGCGTAGCATGGGGCAGGGCAAAACAGTCAATTATCTTTTTTTACTTGTTTTGTGCATTCAATGGAACGATTGTCATAGTTACGTTTTGGAACGGGGCCACTCTATCCCTGTACTGCGTATGTTGACCCTGTTACTTTCAAAGGTCGTGTCTCCATGAGCACGCGGTCGGGTTAGGGTTGGGCCAGGTGCTCCAGTGCTTCTCCTTTGCAGCTCATGTAGTGGTAGCCCATGTCAGTTGTGACATCGGTGCAACCCTGGTTGAGGTAAAAGTCCAGGGATGATTTGTTCCAGTCGAGGACTGTGAAGTTGAGCTGACCACAGCCAGCAGCCAGGCCGAGCTACAGGAGAGCAGAGAGACGCGCATCAGTACTGCCTTGATTACATAGGGACAAGAATTTCCTCTGATATGCAAGAAAAACAAAGTGCAAGTAATGTCCAACTTTTACAGAACATTTTAATTTCTTAACGTTTAAGTCGGATAATATTTTGGGGGTTTCACTCACCTGTGCTACCTTGCTCATCAGTGCTTTCCCAATGCCCTTCCCTGGAAAACACGAAGCGCGTATTCAGTAAGACTTCCTGCTAGCGCAAATCATCAACCCAAAGATACAATATGTAGAATTTTTACACTCAAATATCTAAATGAATTCAAAATGTTGTTTTAAGGGTGTACAGTTTCTGTGATCTTCTTTTCCCTCATCACACCCTCTGAACTAGGGATACTCCAAGGACTGGTCCTGGACCGGTTTACGTCAAAGACTGCTACATAAGGAAGCGAGAATCACGACTTAAAGCTGATGTGCTGGATGTGCTGCTGTGACAAAAAACGTTTTGTAGATTATACTTGGATACATCGTCGGTGAACAGATTCTCTTCCTCAGGTCTGTTTAGTACGTTCGTTTTGAAGACAGTAGACTCTGGGTGCGTTTTCATTTGGGGGGTGGGGCTGGAGTAGTATAGAGAATCACTCCCATGATTCCCTGCAAGCCTCGACCTCATCTTCTGTTATTGTTTCTGTCGAGAGCCCCCTGGCAACGGAATTTACATTTCGTGCCTAAAATAACAACAATGACATGTTTATTCTGACCACAGTTCACTTTACCTCTGAACTCAGGCATCACATACAAGTCCTCCATATAAATGGCTCTGCCCGACCACGATCTGTAGGAGTAGAAGTAAAGTGCGTAGCCTATCTTCGTATGGCCTGAAAGCAAACAGTCACAATGTTAACTCAATACATCAGAAAGACAGTTACGAATATTAACTTTAAAAAGCACTCTAAATTATGTTTATTTTTTTAGGCCACTTGGAGGCTTTGAATCCAGCATCAGCATTGACATATTATACATACATATTAAATTATAAATATGTCACGGCTAGCAAGACTCTTTTTTTCAATCAATATCAAGCACTGTCCAGTCATAGTTCTTGTTGGCTTTTTATCGTCTTTCGAGTATCCTGACTAAGTTTTGTTAAAAACTATGTTGTTGAGATCAAATGTGTTTTTGTAAGGCACCAATTTAAAAAAAAAAATGACTAAAGTTTATAGCGGATTTGTCTAAAATAATCCAGACCTTTCACTGACCCAGAACCAAAATTTAACTCGCCTATATAGTAGAGGGGAATGATTCACTCATCATTGCATATTACCATTTTACACGAATTATTGGCATGCAGCTTTAAGGATATCAAGCTTTATTTTTATAATCTGTCAAATAAAACAGTGAAGAAAAATCATAACATTCATGATATTGTTGTTTTTCCCCTGTAGAAATGACCACAGATATATGTGGGTTTTTTATTTTTATTTGGTGGTCTTATTAGAAGTACTGTCAAAAGTTTATTGTACAAAAGTGGGGAAGCATTTTGGCCAGGAGTCTGGTATCTGAAACCAGCAGAGAGCGGGAAGAGGTGACTGTATTTGGGGGGGGAGGCGGACTGTGTCATGGAAGAAAAAGACCCAACTGGGCAGCAGAGCGTACATAAATGTTTTTCAGTACGCTATTCCGGGAGCAGTCGTGTGTTCGCCTCGTTATGTAAGTGGTGAAAGGCGAGTAGACATTAGCTTTGTGCTGTATCAGGTCGTAAAGATGAACTAATGAACCTGTTGACTGTTAAATGTAGCTGCTGTAAAGCAAAGTCATGGACTTTTGGACTCTTATAGCAATTGATTATCTTCAGTACACTTAAGAGTGTGCTACAAGTGCTGTCTAGAGATCTGTAATGGCTCTTTTTTTAAATCCATCAGGCAAACAAAACCATAAAAAAATAGTTTTTTCCTCATTGCTACAGTCCACATTTCTTTCTTGTGTGCTAGCGCTCTCATTAATCTGTCAGGATTTGGGTTTCTTACAAGACAAAATAACAGTATTTATATCCAGTAACAGTTTGAAACAATCATTTTGTTTGGCTAGATTCGTGGTTTATCCCAAATGAGCTGCTTACAGCTTGGGAAAATACTCAAATATCAATAGCTGCCATTTGGCTGAAGGCCTTCAAATTGAAACAGTTATATTTGATTAGAGAGGAAAAAAACCAGAAATAGTTATCACAGATTTCACACTAATGGACAGAAACTGTGCAAACTATTTCTTGGCTGACATGTGAGCGCGTGTTGTACATTTACAACAGGTGTGGGATTCTGTCTCTACAACGTCATCGCTCAAACAATGAAAACATTATGTTTGTCACAGCTGAAAGTGGTACTGTTGGTCACTTCTCACCGTCTTTGGTTCTGTGCTGTTCTGGTACCTCAGCAACGATCCCATGGAAGAACGGGTTTTTGGAGAAGCCATCCTGCTCCAAGTCTGCACAAAACACAAAACACTGGTCATTTATATTGTATGGGATATGCTACATATTCCCTTCAGTTAAGGCCACACTTTTAAATCCTCTTTCCACGGTCTGAAACGTATGCTGAAGAAGAAGTGTCATTCTCTCGGTTTAACAGCTCCTGCAGGAAGAGAGCCGCTTCCAGGAGGTCGGACCGGCCTTTCCACCTGAACAATCCCAATGATTTGAGATGCCTGTACAGCGTTGACTTATATGAAAGCCAGTCACATTAAGTGGCAATAATATTTCACAGTGTCTCATTTGGAGTATGAAATAAAAGCAGATAGGATCCGATAACGTCATAATCGCCCACTGTCTTATCCTATGCCTATGAAAACTTTTCTCATAATTCCTGAGATCCTGAGCTCATAGTTATGAGACAATGTGTCAAAAAAAAAAAAAAAAAAAAATGGTGAATGCAATTCGCTTCTGTAATTGTGTGACTTAAATGTTCAGAAAAGCTACTTTAATGATCTTGAGCTCAACCTGTGTTGTCTACTTTTCAAAAGAGCTTTTCAATCTCCAGTTGATTTTATTGTTTTTTGTTTTTTTTGGCTCTAAACAGAAAACACAGTCTTGTCATTCTAACTTCTCATGTTTTTTTTTTGGGGGGTTTTTTACGCTTCTGATAGTTTATGAAGGTCACACACATTGAAGGGCAAGGTCAAGGCTCTGAACTCAATAAGAACATGTAGCCTATAGTATCCATTTCTGTACCTTTCTGTGTGATTTTCACGTGATCGACGATTTTCTCATATTCAGCCAATTCCTGTGAACACATAAAAAAAAAGAAAAAAAAAAGCATCAGATCTTATTAAGGGCCTGAAACATGCCACTTCCTGTATGTCAGGAAACAGCTTACATTACATTGTTTTCACAGACACGCACATCTCCTGCTCTGATATTTATCCAATAATATCTGAACAATGTAGTTACAACAACGCTGTCAACGTGCAGACACCTTCTGACGTCAGCCTGTGAGTCATAGACTGTTCATGCCCTCGAGTCATAGCGGCCCCCCGTACAACCACAACCACACACACACACACACACACTGCACACACACTGCACACACTGCACACACACGTGTCCCCTCACCAGGATCATCCTCGCGATGTCCTTGCAGTCCTCCACGTTGGCTGCTCTGATGGAGAAGTCCATGTTGGTGATTGAAATGCTCACAGTGTCCGTGATCTCCGTGGGATCCGGCCGGCGGGAGAAGAGACGAGGAGGTATGCAGCTGTCCGGTTAAAGACACAGCGTCCAAATCAAGCTGAGCAGCGAGCCGAGAGCGCCCCCTTCCACGAAGGAGGCGAGCGGAGGAACCAGCCGTGTGTTATGAAACAGCACGTCGAAACAGAGCTTACGAGTCACTTCTTGTGTTAAACATTTACTCTTTCTACTGTTGTCTCTCTTTCACCTGCAGAGGTTAAATTAGCCTCTGTTGTGGGGTAAAGCTCACAGGTAAAAAAAAAAAAAAACCGATGTGACCCCCCTTTTCGACCCCAAATTCTACACAATCACTATGAGTTTGTTTGTGACAGATAGCCTTTTGATTTTTGGACATGGCAGTTGACTTAATTTTGATTAATTTGCAAGTTAAACAAGCAAAAGTGACAAATCCTTGAGCAGAACTAAAACTCTAACAAGCTTGTAATTATGATTAATATTGTGCATTTAAGGGACTTACCCTATTGAATGATAATCCAGCATCAGCCTTTATCATATTAAGAGTCACAATCAATTCATCATAAGCCTTTTAACAACTGTAAACCTGACAGATGTACGACGGACGATGAGGGCCACGTTCATTTTTTTTATTTTCTTTAATTTCGAGATAAAACTCGTAAATTAACGACTTTATTTTTACAACTTTATTCTTTATTTATGACTTTATTCTCGTAAATTTAAAAAAGCATTTCTTTTTTAACATGGCTCTAATCCTCCGTCATATAGATGACTGAATGGCTTCTATATTTACGTTCATATTTCGTGACAATGCAATAACTTTTGCTCATGGCAATTTACAGAGTGGCCAAACTAAACCCATTTGTTATTATTGTAAAATAAGCATTAGAAATACTATACTAACCCACCGGGGGCAATTCAGTCAAATATGGAGTTAATGTTATGTGAATCAATATTTAGACAGCTTTACAGATAACTGGAGAAAACCACTTATAGCCTATAGGTAAAGATTTAAAGCAAAGCTCATCCTCTTTAATAATTTGCTCCGGATCTTCTGCAACTCTTTTGAAAAAAAGGCATCAGGAGACATTTTTCACAATCTGGCAACCCAAAGGTTATCTGTATTAATCCATTAAAAAAAAAAAAAAACTTCATCTTAAATTTATGAAAAAACAGAAATAAGTTAAGTAACAAAATGACACAGGATGAAATATCATGAAGTGGTAAAGTTGTGGGTTTTGTGGATTGTGTTGTCTTGCCTTAGTCACTGGTAGTCTGTGAAAAGAAAGATGTGTCAGAGATCTACATATATAATAAATTAAATTCTAATTTAATATAAATATCCACAGATTGTAGAAGACCTAAAAAAAAAAAAAAAAAGACCTAAAGGGCACAAATTGAGTTGGACGTTTTTGTACCTTTTGTTCGACAAACTAAATGATTCTCTTGAACATAAGTGTTGGGTTGTAAGTCACTCTGTTTGTTTTTCAGCACTGTGGATTAGGGTGACAAAATAACTTTGTCCAGAATGACATGAGATGGTTTGAATAAAATAGTACTCCGGGGTGTATTACCAAAAGTAATACTGGTCATAGTTTTTTTTTTTTTAATGACACACAGCTTTTTGAAATTAAAGTAAGAGAAGTAAAGCCAACAGTAAAATGTTTGATTCATGTGATCTAAAAAGTTATTTAGTTTTGTAGTTTGTAATACACGTTGCAGCCTCTAGGGGGCCCTAGCAAGGTGTATGACTCGAGGTCTTTTTAGTCTCTGTGCAGTTCAGACAAATGTCTGCATGCTGGCTGTGGGATGAGCAGCAGAAACGGTTTACTTCCTGCGTTTCTGAGGTTTCCATGTGCTCAGAGTCATGCTTTTTTTGATCAGTTGATTCATTTTTCAGTCCATTAAAGTACTTTTGTATATCTCAATTTTTCAGAAGTATTACTTTCTAAAATTGAGTAGAAGTTGGCAAAAATTTGAGCAGAACAATATTACTCTTTATTATGCATAATAGACAGAGACACAAAGAGGAATATAAAGACAGAGCCATCTTTGTTGGTTCAAGTTTGCAGGTGAAGTTCTGCCTCATTATATTCTATAATATTTTCTTTCTTCCAGAAATGCATCAAACTAAAACAGCTGCATTCACAGGAAGTGTCTGAGCTGGACAGGTCATACTGAGTTTAACATGTCTCTGATGACGCACATTGTGGACATGTCATCAAACTGTGAACTTCAGCCACAGAAATGAGAATGAGCTCTTAGATTTACAGTGTTTCAAAGGTGCAAGGTGCAAATCCCCAACAACCAGAGCAAAGGTTTTATTAATTAAGAACTCAGAATTCCTTGAGAAAAAGTAAAGAAAAACACATGGAAAAATGAAATTGACACATTACTCATCTTGTGAGGATGAGTGTTTTCTTGTAGAGGCTGAAAACAAGAATACAAGAATCAACTTTATGAGAATGGAAATTACATTTAAGAAGAGGCAGCTGTATTATTATTGAACATTCAAATGTATTATTGAATATCACACAATAAAAAACCCCCATAAAATCATTTATTACACTTTTAAAAGGTGAACAAAATAGAATAAAATACAAAAAGATAAACCTGAAATACATTTTGTGTAGGATAATTTCATTAGCAAATTAAATGTAAGAAAGGAAATCAGAGTATAGAAAAGACTGAATCAAGAATTGTAATAACAGAATTTATTTTAAAGGTTTGTTTCTGGCAAAACAACAACAACAACAACAACAACAAAGCTTTTAACCTCTACTTACAACTCTTAATAATAAATATTATTTAATTAATTTATCTTTTCAAAGTTTACAGCACTCATGGTTGAGGGGATAGAAAAAAGGATGGTATGTTTCCCAGCTGAGTGGGAGACGTTGTGATTACATGGAATGCATGTTTTACCAACGGGCTAAGGAGCCGCCCCTTAAAATAACAAGTGTTTATGTTGTATGAGACCCATATTGTGAGTCAGTGACACCTGTGCTCAACCCTTTTGAGCTTCTACATGTTTTCTTTGAACACAAAAAAACAGCCTCAAACTAAATTCAGCACAATAAAATATGTTATTCTCTAAGGTACCACAGTGATTGTAAACTACTGTGAGGGTTGTGCTTTGGCTCTCTGAGTAAAATCAAACCTTTGCCTTTTGCATCTTATCACATAGAATTAAAAAGCATCTTATAGTATTTTTAAGGTATTGTATGGTTTGTATTGTATTGTATGGTATTCTATATTGTATGTTGGTATATAGTTATATCCAAGGAGCTGTACCTAGGTGAAGCATTGTGTGATTCTTTGGTTAAAGACTGGTGTAATGATTCTTCGTGAAACTACTCAAATCCACAGCTGGTTTAGCCATGTGTGACGTCTGCGTTGGAGGCAAAGGCAGTTAAATATCTCGGAGAGGGTCTGTGGCATTTCTCACATGAGGATTTTACTTCTTAATGTGTAGAAGAACAAAGGTCTATTTCTCTACCTTTGGTTGTTTATGTGTTGATTCTATACTTAAATCACAGTATAAATAGCAGAATGTGGTTGCTCTGGGCTAAAAATAACTTTATGAGAGATTTGTCACAGTACATGATATTCTGTAGAGCGCAGGGTGGGGAGGAAATGAGCAGGGAAAGGGGGGATTTTAGCCAGCTTTCTCCTGAAGAAAAAAAAAAAAACTAAGGCTGAACTGTGTGGCTATTAATAGCTCCAGGAGGACGGTGTGGCTCTGTGAGACTGACTAATGGCTCCTTTTCATACAACGCAAGCAGAAAAAGCCGAGCATTGCTGCTGTTTTCATCAGCAACCTCCCTCACTCGGCTGATGACGTGCGTGAGGCACCCCTGACAGTTTGTACAGACGCACAAGAGAGCTCACTGGCAGCTATAGAAGCAGAAACGTTGTAGGCAATATTAGTCAGTGCTGTGACTAAGAAAGTGTGAGGCTTCTCGCTGGGGTTCATGCTTAACAAATGCTACAAAAATCATTCAAAAATAAAGGATTATGTCACATCTCTTCACTCACAGGCAGTGACAGTTTCTTCTGAGCTCATAGTAACGTTATTATATTGTTTGTGTGGGATGGTGTTGCATGGGAAGCAAATCATGCGTCCATTGTGAGGGTGTCTGATGTTGAAAGAAAGAAAAACCCCGGATAACTCAAGACTGATGACGTAAAAGATATGTATCTCAAAAGGCTCCTTTTTTCTAGCAAGTTGAAAAGATTCATACATTTTTTATATCCGTTACCATATCTGTCCAAAGGGTGCCCAGAATATATCTGTTACACAATATTATGTTCATGAGGCAGACTCATTCGAACCCGTTCAGGCATGAATCCTGATTTTTATTTTTATATGATTTTTTGACTTCTCAGGACATTATTTTTAAAAATTTCTAACATTCATAATTCTGAAGAAGTTACAGAAATGTCCACCAGAGTGGACATCATGTAACAAAAAGAATTGTATTAAATGTATTTTGGAGTGCATAAACCAAATAACTGAAAGTGTTTTCACATGTCCATTGGGGTGGAGAGAACCATTTCAATTTAAGTTTAGAGGGATGACCGTCTTTGACTTTCGGAGTTTTCCTGTTTAAAACAGAAAAAAATCATGTTTGAAGAGCTCAAACTACCTGCTCAGTTTTTGCCTTGATCACCTGCAAGGGTCTTCTAGAATAACAGGATTTGCAAGATATTCCTGAACCACATGGCATTAGTGAGTTACATCGGCCATGTTGATTTTGAAGACATTTTTTGGACCACTTACTACTGCTGGCCAATTGATGACAGTGTATGGGCTGACTCAGAGTCCACTGGAGTGGCTGATGTGAAACCATTCCATCAAAACCAGTGCATTTAGTAGAAAACAGTTTATGAATAGCTGTCCAGTGTAGTGACCAGTATGTGTGGAAGGGCTAAACACAATAAAATATATGAATATGAATCCAAGCATCAGGTATATTTAGCACTTGTTAAAAGACCACTTACATAACACTGACATTATTAACACCTCCTAAGACCTAAAAAAGTGGTGTTATGTGTTCCAACTTTAGAAGGTCAATTTACAGACTTCACTTTAC